AAAAAATGAGAAGAGTCCCTCCATTTAAATAGGCATTTTCATGGCTCTTCATTTTGTAACTTATATGCCATGAAGGCACATTCAATAGCCATGACTCACCATCATTAGTAATATTTTTAATGGTGTGTTAATACCACCATTAACATGGGGGTTACACCCATAATGTTTAAAATTCTTCCTATTTAATTGGAGATTAATGGCCAGTTAACTCCGTAAAAGTGGAATAATTTTAAACATTACGTAATGGGTTAACTCTGAAAATCAATTTCTCATTCACCATTCTACCATTTTTGGCATATAATATATCAAAATATTTATCTCATTTAAGAGAACACATGTCCATTAATTAACGGTTAAAACCGTTAGTGGACCTATTGATAATTATACCCAAGTTGGTCCATTTAATGCCTATTAAAATGCCAAAAATTCCAACAATCCCCCACATGAATGAAAAATTGATTTGAGGGGGTCGACAACATCCCATGATTGAAAACCTGCAAAGAACAGGTAAGGGTCTCCACTTTTGGACCTGTCCCTTGTAAAGTATACCTTCTTTACTGGCTGTTCTGTCTTTGAACTGTACTGCCGTTTGTGTAAACGATAGTATACCATACACAGATTCCAACCAAACATCATTCTGTTCTCATGGTTGTGCCCATTTTGGTCGTGGGAAACGCGCCTGGTTCTGCGAGAGTGTTTAGAGGATTAAGCCCAAGATCCTCCGTTTGAAGCGACCACACTTCACTCTTACATAGGTGATTCTTTAAGAGTATCCCGATTACTCCCCTTAGACCACCGTGTCTATTGGCTAAGAATCATTAAAGCATATTTATATGCTAACCTCATCATTTTCGGGAGTCAGTGTCTTCAGTAGGAACAGAAGGGACTGACCGAAGGTTCCGGTACCGCCCCCACAGTGACCTCGCTTTATCCTACAAGTAGGTTGTCCCATTGAACCTAGGTACCATCCAGGTTGGGTTTTCCTTCATAGGACAGTCCTAGCACAAGGGCTTCAAACCCATTCCTGCCACCAACTTCTCATGCAACTCATTTGTTAACCCTTTGGTTAGCGGATCCGCCAGATTATCTTTTGACTTCACATAGTCAATCGTGATAATCCTAGTTGTGAGAAGTTGTCTAATGGTTTTATGTCTATGACGAATATGTCTAGACTTACCATTATACATATTACTCTTTGCATGTCCTTTTGCTGATTGACAATCACAATAGATGCAAACTGGTGGGACTGGTTTATCCCATCTTGGAATGTCCTCTAGGAAGTGGCGTAGCCATTCAGCTTCCTCTCCACATTGGTCTAAAGCTATAAACTCAGACTCCATGGTGGACCTAGAAATCACTGTTTGCTTTGAGGATTTCCAAGATATTGCTACACCCGCTAGCGTAAAGACATATCCACTTGTGGACTTCAAGTCTTTACTATCAGATATCCAATTCGCATCCGAGTATCCTTCCAATACCGGTGGATATCTTGAGTAGCATAATCCATAGTTACGTGTATACCGCAGGTATCTCATCACACGTACAATAGCCTTCCAGTGCTCATCACTCGGATTGCTGGTGTGTTTACTCAGCTTACTTATGGCACAGGCTAAATCTAGTCGAGTGCAACTCATTAGATACATCAAACTTCCAATAACTCTCGCATACTCGATTTGAGAGTTACTGGAACCTCAGTTTTTAGCCAGGTGTGCGTTGACGTCCAACGGCGTCTTTGCTACTCTAATGTCATCCTTGTTGAACTTGTCAAGGATTTTATCAATATAATGGGATTGGCTCAGTGCTAGACCCCCAGGTGTTCTCACAATTTTAATTCCAAGATTTACTTCAGCCACACACATATCTTTCATGTCAAATCGTGAGTTTAACATGTCTTTGGTAGACTTGACCATCTTGTCATCACTACCAACTATGAGTATGTCGTCTACATATAGACACAACATGACATACCCTTGGGATGTGTTTTTTAGATAAACACACTTGTCTGATTCATTAATTTTGAACCCAGAGTTCATCATTGCCTGGTCAAACTTCTCATGCCATAATTTTGGCGCTTGTTTAAGACCATATAATGACTTAACAAGTTTACATACTTTCCTTTCTTGACCAGGAACTATAAACCCTTCTGGTTGTTCCATGTAGATCTCTTCTTCTAGATCTCCATTAAGGAAAGCTGTTTTCACATCCATTTGATGTACTTTTAAGTTCCGCAAGGAAGCTATTGCAAGTATCATCCTAATGGAATAAATCCTTGACACAGGGGCATATGTATCAAAATAATCAAAGCCCTCACGTTGATTGTAACCCTTAATTACAAGTCTGGCTTTGTACTTATCAATGGAACCATCTGGTTTCATTTTCCTCCGAAAGATCCACTTAGAACCTAACGGTTTGCATCCAGGAGGTAGATTCACTAACTCCCAAGTGTGATTCTGCATAATAGAATCAACTTCACTTTTAATTGCCTCTTTCCACTGAGGGCCTTCAGACGAAGTCACTGCTTCACGATAAGTTCGTGGNATCCTTGACACAGGGGCATATGTATCAAAATAATCAAAGCCCTCACGTTGATTGTAACCCTTAATTACAAGTCTGGCTTTGTACTTATCAATGGAACCATCTGGTTTCATTTTCCTCCGAAAGATCCACTTAGAACCTAACGGTTTGCATCCAGGAGGTAGATTCACTAACTCCCAAGTGTGATTCTGCATAATAGAATCAACTTCACTTTTAATTGCCTCTTTCCATTGAGGGCCTTCAGACGAAGTCACTGCTTCACGATAAGTTCGTGGTTCATGTTCTAATAAACATGTTAGAATATCGGGTTCAGTCTCTATCAAAAATTATAGAGTCCCCGATTCAAATTCCAACAAATAAGTTAGAAAATCATTACCAAAGGACTTCTTAGTCCGTGTCCTTTTACTTCGTCTTAGTTCAGTCTCAGTTTCGGTTTCATCAATTATACCGGTATTAGACTGATCCGAGGAACCATCGTTCAACATTTCATCATGTGAACGTTTGGAAGAACTTGCTTCTTCCCTCAACTTTAACGGAAATATATTTTCGAAGAATGTTGCATTCCTCGATTCCATTATCGTGTTCTTATGTATTTCTGGATTATCAGACCTATACACTAAGAATCGATACGCGCTACCACTGTAGCCAATAAAGATTCCATCAACGGTCTTTGGACCAATCTTTATTTTCTTTGGTGGTGGTGCTAAAACTTTTGCAAGGCACCCCACACTTTCAGGTATTTATAGGTCTTTGGACCAATCTTTATTTTCTTTGGTGGTGGTGCTAAAACTTTTGCAAGGCACCCCACACTTTCAGGTATTTATAGGAAGGTTTTCTATTATACCACAACTCGTAAGGAGTCTTATCGAGTTTCTTTCGGGGTATTTTATTTAACAAATA